AAACCTCATGAACTATCTATAGCTAAACAATTTAAATAAGATTAATAAAATATATGAAACATCCCCGTACTATCAGTTTATTACATGAAGTATTACAAAAAAAACAAAAAGTTTTGAAAATTAGACAAAATACTCTCAAAAGTTTAAAAGTACACAAAATAAAAAGCTAAAATTTTAGAACTTGGCAAAAAAAAAAAGAGTAATTGTTTGATATTTTTTCATTAAGATATATAAATATAACTTATAATTTAAGGTTTACTATCCCTTTTTAGAATCTAAATATAACTTATAATTTAAGGTTTACTATCCCTTTTTAGAATCTGAAAATAGTCAAGTTGATACTGGTAAAAAATAGTAATAATAACAGATTAAAAATATCCAGTTAAATAATAAAAATTTTAAAAAATATATGATAGATTAAAAATTAATATTATTGTATAAATTAAAGTAACCGCATATAAATTTACCAATATGTTAGAACACTAAAAATACATAAATATTATTAATTGATAGAAGACTAAATCACAAAAAACTGATAAAAGACTATAATATAATAGTTTAACATTAATTGATTATAATTTATAAATATTGATCTCTAATGGTAATAATATTTATTAGGTAAAAGATTATAAATATTTATGTATGGAGAACTATTAGAAAATTTAGAGATATCCTTCAAAAGAATCAAGCAGTTTTCATTTCAAATGGAATTCGGAACGTCCATGAATCACTTCAATTAACATTAACATAAGTTATATTTATCAAAAAAACACCACCTCAATACCCCTTGAAGAATATATTGAACAACTTTGTGCTCATCAAAGAAACATTCTTCATAGAAGATAAAAGAAAATTACTATACTTTGCGTAAGAAAATAATATAAAATCGGCCTTTTTCTTTTTCTTATATAGTATCACAACCTTGCGTGTGACTTTATTTAGGGGTATGACTACTAACGAATGATCAATTCTTAAAGACACTATTAAAGATAATGATGTAATGGTACTATTAGAATTTAAGATCTCTAAGTATGAATGTAGTATATTTCATTAGTAAAATTCTTATTAAATGCCACTAAATATAAAATTCATCTTATATCTGTTTCAAATTTATAGAGGAGATATGCATGTCATCGTAAATTGCGTCAATAATATATATCAATCCAAAGATACAACTTACTGAAGAAATAAGAGAAGTAAGTAAATCAAGCAAACATCCATATATCACCGTAAAGAAAAAAAATTATATTTTAAAGCTAATATGCAACTCTCTTTAGAGTAAGCTGCCAAGACAAAAGCATCATCATTAAGGCTTTTTATAAATGCAACAGAAATTTAAATTACTAATATATACAACCATTATAACATTTGAAAGATGTATGATCTTAGAAAACCTACTCTAAAATTCATATAATTAAACCTAAGAATAATTTATCAATATACAGACACACTATCACACCTTTAAGGTAACGAGAACTACCATTTATAATAGAGTTGAGCAGTGATTCTATGTTTGCAAAGGCTGCAATAAGAAAGTGGATAAAGATGTTAATCATAATTGTTCAGATGATAAATATTGTAGAATCACCGATGATTTAGTACCAATGTTAAGTGATATCCCTTCTTCATGAAAAATATATACAAATTAAATATTAATATTATAATCTAAAGCAAATTAATAATACAAAATTTAATGTATTTAGTTCAGATCCTCATGTAAAATGACACATACAAAGCAAATGTAACATTATGACACAACAGAAATTCTTATTGGATGCACAACAAAAGAATTCATTACAGAGAAAAAAGAGGTAGCTCCTAACATTATTTAAGTAATAAATTAAAAGTATAAAAAATTTCATATATATGAAATTAATATTTATTCTTATTGAAATAGAAAAAAATCAAAGTTCATATTATCAGAAGTTTGTGTTGAATATAAGAAATATGTTCAAGTTATTTGTGAATTTAGACGAGAAGATAAAAGATGAATGAGCCCAATGAAAGATAACATGTTCTAGTGTCATATCAAAATCGATGTAGATGATAAAGACACTACTACTCTAGAATTGGCTAGGAAAAAGGTAAAGATGAAGAATGATTGATCTCGCTCAATAAAAAATAAAATAGAAATAACAAAAAATAATGTTTTGTGAATTGTTATAGAATAATTTTATTTTTTAGTAAAATTAGGAATCTTTAGAAGAGATTAATAATGTTTTGTGAATTGTTATAGAATAATTTTATTTTTTAGTAAAATTAGGAATCTTTAGAAGAGATTTTCATAAACTATTTTAGTGCTTTCATATGATTTTATTTTTTAGTAAAATTAGGAATCTTTAGAAGAGATTTTCATAAACTATTTTAGTGCTTTCATATGTATATGTGTATGTTTTTATCATATAAAAATGTATTAGAATTAGCATTAATATTTAGTTTATGATTTTTTTCATTAACCATTTTCTGTTATTTTAGCCCAATTTAAATCAATCAGCTTGGCTCGTTGGCTTTATTATTCATCTTCCTTTTATAATGTTATTTTTTCAAATGTTTTCACTTTCATAACACTATACTTCCTCAAGTCAAGCTCGGTTTCATGTCGATCCAAATGAAATAAAAATTTAAATTGGCTTTAGATTATATTTATATCCTGACAATTCAACTATCAACATAAAAAATTAAAGTGGATGTAGCCTATTCAAACAAACATCAAATAAAATAATCAAAGTGTAATCGAGGAACAAATTTTAGTAGAGAATAAACCAAAAATACTTAATCAAAGTGAGCAAAAATTATTATCAAAGAGTAACCGATGAATAAATTTTAGTAAGAAAATAAACCAAAAATGCCTAATCATAGTATTTTTAACCACGTGTATTGCACGTGCATAAAATCTAGTATGGGCAAAATCACAACTTTAGAACACCTTCCTCATTTTCAGCTCATTTTACAGTTTCAATAAAACAGCAAGTCATGGTTCAGGCTACCAATGAAAATGCAGTTATACGTGTGCTTAACTATCAGAATATTTATGTTTTGAGGCTAAGTGACACTTAAATATGCTATTGTTTCATCACCTTCACACTTAAATATCCTAAATTGTAAAAAATAACACATAAATACTCTTAAGTTATCTACTTCTAAAATATTATAAATTCGCTAAAAAATCTGTTATGATGAAAAATACCCCTCCATAGAAATGAATATAAAATTTAATAAAAATAGATGGTAGGTATAATCGTAAATATGACAATAAATATGAAAATACAATTACAAAAAATATCATGAGCAAATCACATGAAAATATTCTAAGGAATATTCTCACGTACAACTAACAAAAGATATTAACGTGCTAGTTTTTTCAACTTGGGGCATTAAATTGCTACTTTTAAAACTGAGTAAAAGTTTCCAGTTTTACTCAACACGCCTACAAAGAGAAGAATCCGAAGGCCATGGCCTACTTACAAAACAGAGAGAGAGAGAGAGAGAGAGAGAGAGAGGACGCAGAAAAAGGCAATCCTGAGCTCGACAACAGAAAAAGTTTCCATGGCCAAAAAAAAAAAAACATCCGGCCAACCCTTGGGACCCAAAAATTGTTAGCAAACTTTACACATGATACTAGCATTTCACCAACATAGAAACCTTAATAATTTGCACTTAGATAAAAAATGTTTCATCATTGTTTTAGGGATATTTGCTTTTCAGTCTGCAGAAGCAAAAGATGCTACAGTTGAAATCATGTACTGTGCCATGACCTGAAAAAGGAAATGTTGGGTGAACATGTGACGTAAAGTACCCAATGTTTGGCCGCAGTAACGAAAGCAAACAGTGTGACATCACTGACTCCATGATAGCTACAAATTGACCGAGCAAAAAAGATATTTACTTGCATCACTGTCACAAGATTTCAATTGGCTCTCACCTGATCACTGACCAAAATCCATTCACATGTCTAAGCAGTAAAAACAGAAGAACCCAAAAAGCTAAAACTAGATGCCTACCACCTCAGCACCGACACCCACTATGTCTCTTCATTGAATAAAAGAGAGACGACAAAGAGAAGGCAACAAAAACGAGCTCATATAATCCATAGCAAGAAGAATCAAAGCGATTCTTCGCACCCACGATTGCATGAAACGCCAGACTACAAAGTTGCGCCTTTATAAAATACATAATGCTCTTTCCTAACTCTCACTATAGTAACTCCTGTATCGTTTGAGAGCTCTTCTAATTTTCAACAAAAGAAGATTCAAGCGTGTGCTATGGTTCAAAACGAAGAAGGTAATAGTGGGTGATGTTGTGATGTCAAAATTTCCCTGTATTTGGTCCCATTGAAAAAAAAGTCACATTAGTTTCTACATGATGGCTATGGTTCCATGGCATCAAGGAATTCTGTTGCATTATGGATTTCATCTCGTGCGGCCAAAGCACGTATTTCTAAAGAAACTAAAACCATTAAAGGAAACTATGTCCGAGTCTAATCGATCCTATCCTAATATAGAAGAAGAAACTTTATCATGCATAAGTAATAAATTGAGTCTATTCAAGGTTTCTCTATTCAAGGTTCTTCTCATCACAGATAACAGGAAATGTAAAATATAATTCATGTACAAAACTAAATTACCGAATTACCAACTTTCGTCTGATAAGAAAACTAGTAGCATGAAACAGGCCCTGGGGAGGTTACATACTTGAAGTGAGAGCATAGTGCTTTTATTGGCTATGCGCATTATATTTAATGGTGGTTCTAGCAGTAAAAACAGCAAAAACATGACTTGCTCATAGATATATAATTTATTTACTTTGTAGCATGTACCAATATAGCAGCAACAATGTATTTATCACAAGGTAATAAAACTTTTGGATAATCAGCTGACAGGTCTCTTTCAATTCGAAAATGTGAATTTCCATACACGATACAGGAGCCGAGAAAAAACGAGCATACTGCAAATTTACAGCCATTACAACTAGACTAAATCTCTCATTTTTAACAGATTGCGTGAAACAAAAAATATTATTCTCTATTCATTTAGTATGTTCGGAGGGTATTTTCCCCTCAAGTATTTCTTCAGTGGTCACAGAATTACATGAAAGCATACTGTGGCAGCGCATGTAGAAACAAAAAATAGAATGTAAAAGGCTCGTATTTGTTTTATGATTTATACCTTAAACAAATCCTGTTCTCTCATTTTCTAATGAAAGAAATGCCCTTCATAATGCTTTCTGCTAACTCTTTCTTCGCCTTCTCCAAACCAGCCCTGTTACAAGAGCAGAAGACAAGCAATTAAAAGTGTTTATGTTACGTCATAAAATTTTTTATAACAAATTAATTTTCATAGTGATGTTCTCCTTCACACAATTATGCAGATCTTGTTAGCTGTTGTCAAGCCTCTAATTGGTTTGTTTGTTTCGAGTGGCTGGTATTTCTAACATACAATCATCTAATTATACCTTTTTTATAAAAGAATCGTTATGCAGTGACACTAGTCGTTGGAGGGCCAAGATAAATGTTTGAACAAACCAGGTCATCATAGTGGAATGCGATTAAATGAATTAAGATGAAGTTGAGTCAGGCTGGGACCAGACTCCAGTCAATTATATTTGACTTGTCTTGGCTCCAGTTGGTTGCAATGAGACGAAGCCTGTAAACATTATATTGTCTTGCCATCATTACAAACATCTTTTAGGATAAAGCCAAGACATAAAAGGTCAGCATTTGTTTAGAAGTTGCAGAACAACAAAGAATGATGAGTGAGAAATACAAATTCTAGTTTCCCCTTAAAATGTTTTCTCGCATCAATATCGGTCACATGAGAGTTAACCAACATGAGGATGATAAATTCAGATAGATAAGGTTTAAAAAAAGTTATTTAAGGAAGTCTCTTGAAAAGTTGAAGTAGCAGTGATTAGAACAATCTAAATGAACTCCATTTGAAGAGGAACTTAAGTTTATAGAAACTTGCTTGTGATGGGAGTAGTCATGAGTTTATGAAACAACATCTGTTTGGTTTGTTGCAGATGGGGCACATACATGTTTGGTTGATTAAGTTGCATCCTTTTGATGTCCCTTGCAGGGATTGATATTCTTCCTAACCTGCAGTAATCTCTTATGGAGGGAAACAAGAACAAACTTATGGTTGGAGGTAATATATTTCAGGTGGCAGCCTTTGTTTTAAAGTTTTTTTTTTATTAAATAGCTTTCTGCTGCTTTATTAAAATAGCTGCTGCTTTTACTACAGAGAGAGAGAGAGAGAGAGAGAGAGAGAGAGAGAGAGAAATCCAAACGTTGTCAAAACCAAAATCAGGTTTGAGTTCCAAGCTTAGAATTCAAAAGAGCCCCTTCATTCATTCAAAAAGAAGAAAAGAATACTCAGACAACCTCACTTGAACCTAAGAGAGATTATTAAGGAATACAATGAAAAGTATTAAAAAGTTAAAAGTAAACATCATTACCTTTCAAGCTCATTCAAGGGCCCAAGGGGGAAAATCTCCTCAATCCCACCACGACCTAATCTTACTTTTGTGGCAAAATATGGTAGCTCTGTCACCTAGGACAAAAAGAAAACACTAATTCTGTAAATGAACTCTTAACATTAAGAATGTGGGAAACTTGGTAAAGGACAAGTACCTGAGAAGCCACAAATGAGCATTCTACAATGTTGGTATCACCCCTCAATCCTCTCAAGCATGCATCTGCAAATTTAGCAGCAGCATAAGCCTGCACAATATCCTCAAGTTAGCAAGCAATTTATTTGGAAGCTATTTCCATGAAATAAACCAGTAAAGACTAACCATTGAGAGGGTTGCAGACCCAGCCCCAGCTTTTGCCTGCATCAGGAATGAATTTAACTTAACATTAAGACGTTACCACACTTATTAACTTAGAAAAAGTACTAACATAGATTAATCCTATAGTTTCTAAGAGTGTGATATCATAGTCATCTTTCATTTGTAACTCCTGTTCGCTTAGAACTCAATCCCACCATCTCTCTCTCTCTCTCTCTCTCTCTCTCTCTCTCTCTCTCTCCCCCTCTCTCTCTCTCTCTCTCTCTCTCTCTCTCTCTCTCTCTCTCTCTCTCTCTCTCTCTCTCTCCTGTTCGACTAAACAGCTCTGAAGAGAGGACACATTTACATCACATTCATCTATCTTATATAGCAATAAAAAGAAAAAAAAAGCAAGTTGCCAATGAACACATTATGTTCCCATCACTCATAAGCACACGTACACAGACATAAACTTGGAGAGCTTCTTGCACCTAAGAACCTAAGTTTCCTTGCATTGTGTAAATCCATTGCACCTTGTGCATTTTCTTTCATATTGATTAACATAAGATTAATACCATCTAATATCTTAGTAAAAAGCAATCCAATGAGTCAACCTTATAAATTATGTTGCGAATATTGCAAGCTTCAGAAGATTATATTAGGTGCACATGTACATGTAACCATAACAAAACACTTTCTGGCTACAGCGTTAGCCTAAGATGAATATGGCTACTAGTTCCAAATCTAAAATAAAAAACTAGATGACTTCCAAGTTGATACAAAAAGATGCGTTAACTTTATTATCTATCCCTTGATAATAGTTTTACCTCAACTACTTCTGTTCCCCCATTCTGTACGCGATCGGTCAAATAGTTAATTTCTTCTGAAGTGAAGGAACATGAAGGTTTCACCTGCATATAATCCAACTAATAAAGTTCGTGAGTTTACACTCAGATACCTAAAATAACTAGAAATGATAGGAATTTGAGATCAATTCAACAAAATAAACTATACAACCAAAGTGCAAAGCAAAAATCCCCTGACCTGCGACAATAGGGGTAATATTGTAACCCCTGCATGTCCACCAACAACAGGAACATTAACCTCCTGAGGATCAAGTCCCAATACTTCGGCCTGAAAACAATACGAATCATATAGGATAAATAATAATATCAGAAGCTAAATCAAAGCAAAGAACTCCGCTGGTTCCTTGAACACTTAAACAAGGAAAATAACAACAGATAACTCACCACGAAAGTATTGGCTCTCACAATGTCAAGGGTTGTCACCCCTAAGAGGCGGTTAGGATTATAGGTGCCTGCCTTCTTAAATACCTCTGCTGCAATAGGAACAGTAGAGTTTACTGGATTGCTGATCAAATTAACAATTGCATTAGGACAGCATTTGGCAATGCCCTCACAGAGGGTCCGAACAATTCCAGCATTAATGTTAAATAAATCATCCCTTGTCATTCCTGGTTTTCTAGGAAATAAGATCCATTCCTGTGAGTGCATTTTCCAACTGTGGCTGACCTAAAAAGCCTCGTACCTGCAAAAGACCAATAAAAATTAGTTAATTGTGTTTCAGTACAATAAGGAATGCATAGGTCATTATTGAAAAAGCCAAAAAGCAGAAAAGCAAGAATTCAGGCTGTTTGCATATTCAAAGGAGTAGGGGTGGAAACGAACCGAATCTGATCGAATATCTTTACATTCAAATTCGAGTTCAGTTTACTTTATCGAATTCGAAATTGAATTCGTGTCACATAAGTAGGAGGCGTTCAAATTCGGTTCGTTAATTAAATAAATATTTGGCAAATATTCATGAATATTTGCTAGCGGACATGGTTGATGCATTTGGCTCTTTAATTGGAACTCATGAGTTAGAAACTAATGTTAGCCACTTATTTGTTTTGGTTTCTTTTTACATATTGCATAACTACTTAATGATTATTATGATATGTCACAACTAAAATTATTAAATTTATATATTTATAAATTATTAGTTTATATATTTATCAATAGTAATATTCATAATATTATATAACATAAAAGTTAGTATAATGCAATGATGTAGAATTAGAACAACATCTCACTATAGATTTCAGATCTACATAAATTCATTTTCTAGCAAACTTGTTTTACCAACTTAAGAATATAATCTCAATTAATATTAGAATAAGAATTTATTTCTTATAGATATTTTGCAATGATATATGTCGGCATAATGAATATCTCAAGTGCAACTCTAAAGGATAAATAGTTTACGATAAATTAAATTTAGAGGAATAAAATGTAAAGCATAAACGAATATTTAATAATCAACCGAACCAAATACACCTCTGGTTAAATACTATTTGTTTATGACTCGAATACTAAAAAATATTTTTTTATTAATATTTTTTACTATTAAATGAACGACCGGATCGAATATGACCATATATCCAGACGAATAACAACCGAACAGTTTATTAATTATTTGGTTCATTTCCGCCCCTTTTGATATATTCTTCAGAGTAAGTTGAAAATAAGCCCCTTCGTCTATACTTTCAGTAGCATTTTTTACCCCTCAACTCATTATTAACATTTATCGCCCTCCAATTCAAGACGAAGAAGAGAACTTACTGCAACTTATCCTTCTCAAAATGTCTACCAGCGCCGGAAAGTTCTAATAGAAGAGTTGAAGGGTGATAAGTACTTTTGAGGGTATAAATGAGGGGAGCTATATGCAAATCATACTGTCACAAATTCATAAGGAGGGGTGGAAAATTCCCTTCATCTCTAGCATAAGGATAAATCAAAGATAGCCAACACTTGGACAAGCCATCCTATGCACCATTATGAACGATATACCAAACAATCCAAATGTATTACTAAAACTGAGCTTTTCATAAAAGGGACCGATATGTAAAAGAAATTACCACAGCACCCGTGTCCATGTGGCTGATATCTGCAGTAACACCTGGAGCATTAACAACATCATAGAGATGAAGAACTGACACCAGAGGATTCATCTTCATCAGCATTGCAAGGGGCTGACCTATTCCCCCTGCTGCACCCAAAATCGCCACTTTGAATCCAGGAGCTCCTCCTTTTGACCGACAATCCGATGGCCTCAGCGACGAACTCTCCTCCATCTTCAGTCACAAACCAATCAGTAACATTACCAAATTCCTAACACCACTTGTATCTACTACTGTAAGCTTCAGTAGATATCCTAAACTAAAGAGAGATAAATATTCGCAATCCACCACGTTAAGGGAACAGCGGCCCTAAATTACCAAGAAAGCCAACTTGGAAAGGTAAAAAAAAAACAATAAATTCTCCTGCAAGATTTTATCTTTCTATCAGAAACAATCATACAATTGGAAACCAAGAAATACCCAGAAACCGAAACAGCAAAACATAACGAATTAAGAGAGAGAGATCAATCTCATGAGTACAAACCTGAAGGTTTGGGTTCAGATGACCAGCGATTCTCGCGATGCGCTGCAAAGCCTCACGATTCTGCTCCATCTTCTCAAATTCGAAGTTTAAAGAAGTTCAAAAATCAAAAGAGAGAAGAAAGAACCGAACTTTAACTGCAAATATGATGGTTTGTTGTGTATTGGATTGGATTTTGTTATAGAGTGACGCAAATAATGATCAACAGAGTTCTAACAAAAAAAAATTATGGGAAGGATTCGGAAGCGTGCAGTTCTAGAAACTACAAGCACAGTTGCGTGATTCTGGACTTCGAAGATTTTCAAGGCCGTGGTGAAGTGGCGATCGTCGCCTTCATTTTTGACTTTTTACCTCTTAACGACAAATTTTCAAAACCATCCCTTTTTAAAATTTATTTATAAAAAACAATTCATTTTAACTTTAATTACAAAAACAGACTCAGTTGGATGAAACTGGGTCTGTTTTTAAAAAAAAAAATTCAAACTGAACTCCCGTGAAGTTTTGTTATGAGAAAAAACTTCACGGGAGTTCAACTCCCGTGAAGTTTGAAATTTTTTTTTCAAAAACAGACCAAGTTTCATCCAACTGAGTCTGTTTTTGTAATTAAAGTTAAAAATAATCTTTTTTTGAGAATAAATTTCAAAACCGAATGGTTTTGAAAATTTGTCCTACCTCTTAGTTAATCAGTGAATGGTTATTGGAGGCATATATCAAAACCTTTTTTCTAGCTAAAAAATAACAATAGTAAACAAAATCAGAGTGGCGCAGCGGAAGCGTGGTGGGCCCATAACCCACAGGTCCCAGGATCGAAACCTGGCTCTGATATTTTATTTGGGCTTCCTAATATTTTTTCCCAAGCCCAGCCCAGCCTAATACATGTTGCCATTGTGACTTTATGGATAACCGTTTTGGCCCGAAATACACACCGAGCCCATTATTAAATTAACACAACGCCCACCCCCAACCCCCCAAAGTTTCTTTTTAATGTTCTCTGTTATTTTAGCCCAGATATCGATGCCAAAACGTTCTCATTCTAGACCATCATCCACTTTGCTAATGACATAAACGTTTCATTTCCACTTATTAGGAGATTACAACTCATTTGGGGTTTCATGTTTTCCATTGTCTTAAGAACAGTGGATTAATTAAAAGAAGAGAAACAAAGATAAGAAATGGTGAATGAGGCTCTATGTTTTCCATTTGTTCTCTCTTTATCAATATTACTCTTTATGTCTCTCCTCCTTATCCACGACCCTAGGGGCAAAGCTTAGCAAATTCCATTTGAATCTAAATTTTCAAGTTTCTACTTTTTCACACTTATTTAAGCATTTTCTTCCATATTGCTCCTGAGAATAATCATCATTATAGTTTCTTATGCATGGATACGTAGTACTGGCCTAGATATCTAGTTGATATTAGGTTTAATCTAACATTGGTTATGCATGGATACGTAGTACTGGCCTAGATATCTAGTTGACATTAGGTTTAATCTCACATTGGTTATGAGAGCACACCTCATGAGTTTTTGTGTTATGATTAAGGGTACTAAATTTAACATGGTATCAGAACGAGGTTAATTTTTTACAAAATCTTGGCCTCACCACATTGCGGCATCTTCGTTGTCGCCTCCGTGCTTGTCGCATCGCGGCCTCCGTGATAGTCGTCTCTGCCTCATACAAACGACATCGCTGTTTCACATTTAGTAACGGCATCGCCATTTCAAGCCGTCTCTCAGCTTCTTCTTTTTTTAGCCATCTCTCGGCTTCAAACGAATGGCATCGCCATTTCATAGTCAGTAACGACATTGCCGCTGCAATCCATCTCGACGTCTCAATGTATCAACATCGGCGTTGATCCGTCGTGGGTGGGGGCTCGCTTGTATTGTCA